CCCTCTCGGCGCTCGAGGGGCGACTTGGGGGTCGATGCATCCCCGGAGCCGATCCCCCCTGACTTTAGGTCGGGCCTGTCCCCCTACAGGGGGATGTTGGGCGAACAAATGGAAAAAAACAATTACTCCGACGGAAGAACCCCACATAAGAATCCTCTGGGCGAATCTGGAAAAAGCCATCACCGTCGTCCTCGTGGTTGGTGAGGCGTCCTGGCTGTCTCTTCTGCGTATATTTCCTCTCGGCCTGGCGCGGGCCCCCCTTCCACTCCTTACGTTGTCCCCGTCCTCGCCCCCCTGTTTGTTCCGCGCCCCGCCACCTCCTCCCCTTCCTGTTGCATGAGCGCGCACGTCGATGTTCCTCGGCGCCGTCGCCGCCACGGCCAGCGCAGGCGCGTTCTCTACTGGTCACGTCGCGCAGCCGTTGGGACAACCCCGCGGGCCAGGCTGTCGGGACAACCCCGCGAGCCGCTGGCGCGCAAGACCAAGCCGTTGGGACAACCCCGCGGGCTTCGAGCGAGGCGCAGCCGCGCTCAGGCGGAAGGCAGCACGAAGCCCAGCTCTGCCGCGAGCTGCTTCGCCTCCGCCCTGGACAAAACCGCTCTCTTGTCGAACTCCAGGAGCGCCTTCCGCAGGGACGCCGGCGGCCCGCACTCCAGGAACTCTCGCGGCGGCGGCCGCAGGATCAGCATGTTCCGCATGCACGTGGCGCGGGAGAACATGACGTAGAGGTGCAGCCACCACTGCTCGTCCGACATGCCCGTGCGGCCAGCGTCCTCGTCTCTCGCGCAGTCGATGGTGACGCCCTTGCGCAGCGTCTGGCCCTGCGACAGCGTGGAGGTCAGGTAGGACGCGTGCGTCAGGGTGAACCCCGAGCGGCGCACGCTGTGCGCCCCCGAGCTCTGCCATGTGAACTCCCTTTCGCTGGGCCTGAACATCAGCAAGCTCCGCGCCCGCGCCTCGGCCTGGCCGTCGTCGTCGGCGCCTTCGGCGCCCTGTCGCAGCACCTCGGCGACCTCCTGGTAGATCGGAGACTCCTTGAAGCCGTGCACCTGCAGCCAGATTCCCTGCGGTAGGAAGCGGGGGCGAAAGAGCTGGCCTGCCGAGCACTCCTCGTAGCGCTGCTCGTCCTCGTGGTGGAACTCGAAGGACACGATGGTGGCCCGCTGCTCCTGCACGAGCCCCAACTTCTTCTTCAGCTCCTCCTGCGCTGCCGTGAACCGCACCTCCATGCCGACGTGGGCCGGCAAAACGCCGTGGATGTCCCCCGTCTCGTGCATGTTCGGGACGTTCAGGAGGCGCCGACCCGCGTCGGGCTCGCCCTGAATCGTGCCGCACTCGTCAACGGCCTGCAGGAAAACAAGGGGCACGCCCAGACGCCGAGCGTCGCGACGAGCGCGCGTGTTGATCCACCTCGCCAGCGTCTCCCAGTATATGCCCATGCCGTAGCCGAGCCGAAAGTTCTCGTGCTGGTGCCGAGGGTCCAGGACGCCCTGGTTGTCCGTGGCCAACGTCTTCTCCCAGGCGGACCAGACCTCAGGTGGGAAGGGCTTGCCCTCGCGCATGCAGCCCAGGAACGTGATCAGAGGGTCCCCGGGCTCGAAGCGCTTCGTGCCCTTCAGCTCGAAGACGCAGGGGATCTGAGAGAAGACCTTGATGGCGCGCTGGATCTCCACCGTCGGCGGGTCCGCGTACCTGTACGACTCGTCGTCGTCCAGGCGCTCGCTCACGTCCGTCAGGAGGCCAATGCTGCCGGTGGGCTTCAGCTGCAGGAAATCGCCGAGGTGCAACACGATGGGCACGCGCCCGAAGTGGTGGCGTGGCCGCTGGTAGTTCGACTCCTGCACGTCGTGCGTGTCACTGCGTCCGTGGCAGGCGCGAAGGTCCAGCGCGTTGTACAGCGCGGCTCAGACTTCCTCGCAGTTCACTCACAGACGAGCTCCCGCCTGAGACTTCCTCCATATTCAGGCTTGAGGAGCCCAAAAGTGACGACAGTTACAGGGTTCCGATGACCCGCTCGGATTACCAACATGATCTGCGGGCCCCATAGGGAGGGAGCTCCCGCCTGAGACTTCCTCACAATTCACTCAGAGACGAGGCTCCCGCCTGAGACTTCCTCCAAATTCAGGCTTGACGAGCCCAAAAGTGACGACAGTTACAGGGTTCCGATGACCCGCTCGGATTACCAACATGATCTGCGGGCCCCATAGGGAGGGGGCTCCCGCCTGAGCCTTCCTCAGAATTCACTCACAGACGAGGCTCCCGCCTGAGACTTCCTCCAAATTCAGGCTTGAGGAGCCCAAAAGTGACGACAGTTACAGGGTTCCGATGACCCGCTCGGATTACCAACATGATCTGCGGGCCCCATAGGGAGGGAGCTCCCGCCTGAGACTTCCTCCCAATTCACTCACAGACGAGGCTCCCGCCTGAGACTTCCTCCATTTTCAGGCCTGGGGAGCTCAAAAGTGACGACAGTTACAGGATTCCGATGACCCGCTCGGATTACCAACATGATCTGCGGGCCCCATAGGGAGGGGGCTCCCGCCTGAGACTTCCTCACAATTTACTCAACGATGATGAGGATGAGGATGATGAGTGGTGGTGAAGATGAGTGGTGAAGAGGATGATGATTGATTGTGAGTGGTGGTGGCGATGATGATGTTTGAATGAGGATGATGCCGATGCCGATGATGATGATGATGATGTTCGTGAGCGTGTGAGAGAGTGCGAGTGATGATGATGATGAGTATGTGAGTGACTAAGCATGTGAGAGAGCATCATCGATGATGCTGATGAGGTTGATGATGAGAGAGTGTGAGTGAGTGTGAGTGGGTGTGTGTGTGTGTTCCTGTTCCTGCGCGGGGTGTCCAGAGAAAACAAGAAACCCACTTTGGATGTGGGGAACAAAAGATACTCAAAAACATGGTCAACAAATCGTCCCCGACTATTTTGAGGCAATTCTTGAATATTCCTCCTGTAGAGGGACAGGCCCGACTCAACCCTAACTGAAGGGGCCCAAGGACGCACAATCAAATACGCACAAATCCCAGGAGATTCCCCCTGTGTTGCCACATCTTCTGGGGTTCCTTACGTCTTCCCTCCACCACTTCCCATAGTTTCCCACATTTTCCCTGGAATCGACGATGACTTGTGTCTGTGTTTTTTGTCCCCCTCCTGACTAATGCTGCCCCTGGGTGTCGGGGTATTCGGAGGTGCCCGCACCGCGCAGCTCCGCGGAGCTCCCGCGGGCCCCGAGAGCGGCCAAAGCGGGCCCCGGTGCTGCCTCGCGAGGGCCTCCCTCGCAGGAGATGACGAACGAACAACACACACCCATACCCATAGGGAGGTCGTTGGGAGGAGGACTGGCTATGGGTATGGGTGCGGGTTGTCGGACCCTGGGGAACGCTCCCGTTCGAGCGGGGACCCCCATCCGACAACACGCACCCACAGCCCTCTCCGACCTCCTTATGGGTATGGGTGTGTGTTGTTGGTTCGTCAGGAGAGCCCGGGATCGAATCGACGAGTCGCGTCGGCGACCGGAAGGAGTCGGATCGGCAGAGACCGGCAGCCGAGTCGGGAGAAGTCGAGTCGGCGGGAATCGGCAGGCCAGGATGCCTCCAGTAAGGAGCCGGAGTCCACATCGGAATCCGACATCGGAATAAGCGAAGTCGGAGGCCGTGGACGTCGAATCGGAACGAATTTACCTACAGGCGGATTTTGGACGAAAAATGCAAAATGCACCGAAAATCCACCAGAAATAATCAAAAATGATCAAACAATCGTCACCAGACTATTTTTTTACTACTTATGAATATTCCCCCTGTAGAGGGACAGGCCCGACTTAACTGTACGCGTGGGTGCGGATCTTGACCGAGCCCATGGGGGCCAGGAGCCACTGGGGGTAAAAAGTGCGCACCAGAGGCTGTCCTCACACAGTGCCTGCGGTGGGAGAGCATGGTCCCCACTTCCAGCCTGTAGCTGCCACAGGATGCTGCAGACTGCTCCGAAATTCACAGCATCCTGTTCTCATGCTAGGGCCAGGAACGGCAGGGCGTGAGTAGTTTAGGGACCCAGGCATGCGACGTCCTGATTTTTTCAGGACGGCGTCCCTGGAAGTCCCGACCCTTCCCACGGGACCGAATTTTCATCCTGAATCGTTTTTGACAGTCCCGAGGCCCGGCGAGGGCCCCCCGAGGCCGAAAACTGGCAAAAACCTCGCGTCCTGATTTTTTTGCGACGCGATCATGTCTGGGGAGGTTCCTCTTCCACCCCCCATCTTCCCTGTCGGGGAAGGGTTAACCCCTACCCCTCCCCCCTCCCCTCTGGACCTGGACGGGCGGGGCGGCGGGGCGCGAGGGCGTCCAAGATGGCCTCGGCGAGAATGCCCAGATCACTGATGTTACGAAGGTTTTGGGCCAAGTTTGAATACACCGGGGACTGGGAGGACGACGGAGAACGAGAAGGAGGAGGAGGAGGAAGAGGAGGAGGAGGAGGAGGACGAGGATGGGCATGTTTGAATTCTCCCCGCTCTTTGGTCGATCACCTCCAAGATGGCCCCAAGAAGGGCCCCGAGGCTTCCAAGAGTGCCCCAAGAGGGCCTCAAGTGGCTCCATGAGACCTCTGGCCTTTCTGTTCGGCCTCCTCCTCCTCCTCCTCCTCCTCCTCCTCCTCTTCCTCTTCCTCTTCCTCATCCACCTAAACCTCCTCATCCCTCCTCTCTGCTCCCTGGCCCTCCGCCCCCTCCCTCTCCTCCTCCCCTCGGTCCTCCTCCATCCTCCCCCTCTTGAGGTATGACGGTTTCACAACCTTTATTCCACTGCGTGCTCCCGCACATGCCTGATCAGGGCAACTCGCCTGGGCGTCGTGTCTGAATGGGCTGGTGGGCTTACGCGAAGCGTCTAGAATTACACTACCCCCGTGGTTGAAACTGCCCTGAACTTCGACCGTTGGAGCTGGACCGTAGCAAGCCGTCGCCGACGACGGCTGCGTCCCGCTCGCAATATCTACACCTCGGCCTCGCCCTGGGCCTCCCCCTCCTGCTCCCTGCTGAACCGCAGAAACACCTGGAGGGAAAGAAGACGAGGACCACGACCAAGACTGACCGCGGAAACGTCGGAGCCAATCTTGCTCATCGTCCATCTTGGTCATCATCAATGCGCGCATCGTCCTCGCGGATCGGCGATGGCCGGAATGGGCGCTGGCCCAGATTGGCGTCGACAGGATCCGCGACATCTTGGCTGTGGTCATCGTGCTCCTTTCCTCGAACACCCACCTGCTCCAGGCTGGGCCTGGAGATGGAGTAGTCCTGGAGCGCGATGGCTCCGCGAGCCTCCTGAGGGTCGGCGAGTAAAAACGACAGCGATCCGCGGAGCGGCAGCGCCACCCCCAGGCCGAGAGGCGTGGCCCACTGGGACCGGGGAAACGCACGAAGATGGTCGCTCCGCGCGTCCGCTCACGCATCCTGATGCTCCTCCTCCTCCTCCTCCTGCTCCTCCTCCTCCTCCTCCGACTCCGACTCCTCCGACTCCTCCACCTCCTCCACCTCCTCCACCTCCTCCACCTCCTCCTCCTCCTCCTCCTCCTCCACCTCCTCCTCCTCCTCCTAATCCTCCTCCTCCTCCTCCTCCACCTCCTCCTCCTCCTCCTCCTCCTTCTCCTCCTCCTCCTCCTCCTCCTCACTCCTCCTCCTCCACCTCCTCGTGCCCTGGCGAGCTGCACGCTGCGCTGGCTTCTGCCACCACGCGGATCGGAGGACTGCCGATCGCCAGAGCGCCCGCCCCGGGCGCAGGAGGCAGGTTGCGCCGCGCGCTCGCACGCGCCTCCGGAGAACTGCCCGGGCGGCGGGGCGCCGAGGGGAGCAGTGAAAGGGGGGGCAGGCCTTCTCAAAAGGCGGCGGCGCTCGTCAGAGGCCCCCACGCCCTCCGAGAAGCCGCCTCTGTCTTCGGAGACGGCTCAGGAAGCTTCGCAGCAGGCCATGGGGCAGGCCTTCTCAAAATGAGTATCGTTTAACCGATCCCCATCCCCAGCGGCGTGGCCTGGGCCCCGCTGGACGATTGGCCCCCACTAGATGGGAATCTCTAGGTCGTTCTCTTCGGGCTTCGAGGGGTGTATGCCCAACTGGGGTGGTAATCCCACCAGCCCACTAGGGCGTCGGTGGTTTAACGAGTTTCCTCTTCCACCCCGCCTTCTTCCCCTTCGGGGAGGGGTTTACCCCTCCCCCTACCCCCTCCCCACTGACCTGGACAGGGGGGGCCGCGATCGGTCAGAGCGTCCAAGATCGACCCCTGGGAGGGCTAAAATTCGACACCCCTCACGAGGATCGTGGCTCCTGAGGGGGGGGCTGAAATTTAGGAACCCCCTTCGTTGATCGATCTCCTCCAAGATGGCTCCGAGAGACGTCTTGGACCCCCTCTTGGGCCCTGCGCGCGGGCGGGCGGAGCGCCGCCCGCCCGCCCGCAAGGCCCAAGAGCCCACCAAAACGTTCGAAGATACTTCCAAGACGCCACCAGGGAAGAGGAAGATGAGGAGGAAGAGGAGGAGGAGGAGGAGGAGGAGGAGGAGCAGGAGGTGAGGGAGGAGGAGGAGAAGAGGAGGAGGAGAAGGCGGAGGAGGAGGAAGAGGGGGAGGAGAACAGCTGCCGATCATCGGCGCTCTTCGTTCGAGCGCCTGGTGTAGGATGGGCTGGTGGGGATACGCGAAGCGTCAAGAATTTGGTGGTGGTCTCGAGGGGGATGGAGATGGGGATGGGGATTGGTGACACGATACCGACAGAAGGCGGCGGCGCTCGTCAGAGGCCCCCTCGCCCTCCGAGAAGCCGCCTCTGTCTTCGGAGACGGCTCAGAAAGCTTCGCTACAGGCCAGAGGCCCTCTGAGCCTTCGGAGAAAGCCCGCCCCCTCTGCCTTCCCCCCCGGGTGCGGCGCCGACCCCTGAGCCCAGTTGCTGGCACCTCGAAGATCGTTTGATATTGAACGACCAGCGGCTTTCCGATCGCCAGAGCGTTCGTTCCGTGATGGCCGATTCTGGGCCACCGGCGGCGCTCAACCTTGAACGCCCACGGCGAGGTCGTCGCCGCGCCGGCACGACACGAACATGCAGAACCCCAGGGCCCCGCAAGCGGGGACTCTTACATGTACACCGAATCGTCGGCACGCCCAAGACAGCTGCCGCCGTGGGCCGAGCCGAATGCAATTTTCCATTCTCTCCCGATTGGCCAGCAATGTCTTGGTCTGCGATGTCATGGCTTCCTGGGCCCTGGGGGCCTTCTTTCCCCGGCGCCGTCGTGACCGTGTGGCCGCGCGCTCTGGCCGCGTCAGGCCTGCGACGTCGTGGAAACGCCCGAAAGCCAAGGAGACAAGACAAGCCAATCGCATGGAATCGGACAAGCCTCCTGGCCTACGCAGCCAAATTTCTCGTCCCCTTCCTCCCTTTTTCCTCCTCCTCCTCCAGAGGTTCCGACTCATCCTCGTCATCCTCCCCCTCCTCGTCCTCCTCCTTATCCTCCTCATCCTCCTCTCCTTCTCCTCCTCCTCTCCTTCTCCCCCTCCTCCTCCTCCTCCTCCTCCTCCTCCTCCTCCTCCTCCTCATCATCATCATCATCATCATCCTCATCACCATCAGCATCATCAGCACCATCGTCAGGATTAGCAGCATCAGCACCATCACCATCATCGTCCATCGCCTGTCTCGTCCTCATCTGATCACCACCATCAGCATTACCATGATCACCCTCCTCACCCCCATGACCAGCATCGTCATCATCACCACCAACATACGCATAACCATCATCCGCATAAACATTCATAAACCATGTCGTTTTCATCATCGCCAGCATTACCATCAGCACCACCACCACCACAATCATCATCATCATCAGCATCATCATCAGCAGCAGCAGCAACATCATCCTCATCATAATCATCAATATCCTCCTCCTCCTCCACCTCCTCCTCCTCCCCGTCCTCCTCCTCCTCCTCCTCCTCCTCCTCCTCCTCCTCCTCCTCCTCCTCCTCCTCACCATCATCATCCTCATCACCACCAGCATCATCAGCACCATCGTCAGGATTAGCAGCATCAGCACCATCACCATCATCATCCATCGCCTGTCTCGTCCTCATCTGATCACCACCATCAGCATTACCATGATCACCCTCCTTACCCCCTTGACCAGCATCGTCATCATCACCACCAACATACGCATAACCATCATCCGCATAAACATTCATAAACCATGTCGTTTTCATCATCGCCAGCATTACCATCAGCACCACCACCACCACAATCATCATCATCATCAGCATCATCATCAGCAGCAGCAGCAACATCATCCTCATCATAATCATCAATATCCTCCTCCTCCTCCACCTCCTCCTCCTCCCCGTCCTCCTCCTCTTCAACATCATCATCGTCGTCGTCGGTGGCGGCAGCAGCAGCAGCTCAGAATCATGATGTCCGATGCTCGATTCCAAAGCACCCCGTGTGTAAAGTTTGCGAGGACACGGTGGCCAAAGGGCGGCCAGGGGCGTCGGGGCGAGGCAGCGTTGTTTCTACCGCGCGGCCTCACACTGCTGATCACTTCTGTAAAATATCAGAACCGCTGTGCCCACATGATCTCCGACGCTCGTTATCCGAAGCCCCCCAAATCCGAAGTTTGCAAGGAAAGGTTGGCCAAAGGGCGGCCCGCGCGGCCTCAGCGAGCCCCAATGATGAAGAACTCTCAGCGTGTTCCCACCTTGCCGTCAATGTTGCGCGTTTGACATGCGTCTTGCCCCACGGGCGCGTTGGTGACACAGTCGCCCAACACCCCATACAGCTGGAGCGAGTTGAGCAAGCTGTTGGACACGCTGTCGGCTGTCAGACGACATGTGGGCGAGAACACGATCACCTCGTCCTCCGCGCAGCTCTCGGTGAGTCGCGCCTGGAACGCCGGCGACACCCTCACGCAGGCCACGTCTGCTGGCATCTCCTCGCCTGGGGCCGACCGCAGCGTCGTCGAGGCAGTCTGCGGGTCGAGCAGCCGCAATCGAAGCAGGAGGTCCCCAGTCTGCTGCAGTGCCCCAGATGGCAGCGTCGTCATTGTGCCCTGGTCTTGTCGAAGACATTGGCAGTGTATGAAGTGTCCCAGTGCTCGTCGAAGGAAATCTCGATTGCTTCGCCCAGCGACGGGAACCGACGCAGGCGATCCCGCCCGCTAGAGTACTTGCCGTCTCCGAATCTCGCGACGATCGCCTACCACGCGACCGCGCCTCCTGTGCACCCCGACGAGGTCCTCGCTTGAAACCGAGCAGAAGCTGCCAGCGGCACGGGCGGCCCGAACCACAGGTTCAGCATCTGCCGCCCCTCTGGGCGGCCAGCGATGGGTGCTGCATGGGATGACGACCCAGGGGGCCCCATCTGGGTCCTCCGCTGCGTCTGGTGCAGCCTCCTCGCCGCTGGGAGTGGCCCCTGAGCAGGCCTCGAATCCAGGGGCAGGCTCGTGGACCGCCCGCGCTCTGGCCGCGGGCTCCCCACACATCAACCGCGGGCACCCCCGCCGCGCAGCGCAGGGCGGGCTCGGTCCGAGAAAACTGCAGGTCACTTCCTTCTACTATCATCGCAGCTGTGCTCACACCATCATCATCATCACCACCACCACCACCACCATCATCATCATCATCATCATCATCATCATCATCATCATCATCATCATCACCACCACCACCATCATCATCATCACCATCATCATCATCATCATCAACATCATCATCATCATCATCATCATCATCAGCATCATCCTCATCATCATCATCCTCATCAGCATCAGCAGCAGCATCATCATCATCATCATCATCATCATCATCATCGTCATCGTCATCGTCATCGTCATCAACAGAATCATCATCATCAGCATCACCACCAGCATCAATATAATCATCATCATCAGCAGCAGCATCATCATCATCAGCATCATCATCATCAGCAGCAGCATCATCATCAGCATCATCAGCATCGTCATCATCATCATGACCAGCAGCATCAGAATCATCATCAGCGTCATCATCACCACCAACAACGACAGCATCATCGTCATCATCGTCATCATCGTCATCCGCACCGGCATGATCATCGTCATCATCCGAATCATCGTCATAATCACCCTCATCACCATCATCATCAGCATTATCGTCATCAGCATCATCATCAGCATCATCATCAGCATCATCATCAGCATCATCAGCATCGTCATCAGGATCATCATACTCATCGTCAGCATCAGTATCATCATCTGGATCAGCATCATCATACTCGTCAACAGCATCATCACCACAATCAGCAACATCATCAGCAACATCACCATTACCATCATCATCTGCATCATTACCGTCAGAAGCATCAGCGTCAGCATCAGCATCATCATTGGCATCACAATCATCATCAACATCATCATTAGCATCATCACCCTCACCATCATCATCACCACCATCATCAGCATCATCGTCATCATCATCATAATCATCATCATCATCAGCATCATCATCATCTCCATCATCAGCATCATCTCCATCATCAGCAGCATCATCAGCAGCATCATCATCAGAATCATCATCATCAGCCGCAGCATCATCATCAAAATCCTCGTCCTCATCATCATCACCATAATCATGGTCATCATCACCATCAGCATCAGCATCATCATCAGGCTAGACTTCCTGACAAGCCGCCGAGCCCCAACCCCGACGGATATGTGCCCGCGCCGCTTCCGTACGCTTCCGTACCGGGCCCGCCTTCAATGCAATACTAGCGCCGGCGGCCCCGAGAGGCCGACGGGGCCTGCGTTGCTGCTAAAAACTGGCCTCGGGGCGCGACAGGGAGAAGTCATTTAGAAGGGCAAGGAATGGAGTAGGAGAAGAAGAGGAGGAGAAGAAGAGGAGGGAGGAGGAGAAGGAGAAGGAGGAGGAGGAGGAGGCGGAGGAGTAGGAGGAGGGGGAAGAGGAGGGGGAGGAGGAGGAGGAGGAGGAGGAGGAGGAAGAGGAGGAGGAGGAGGAAGAGGTGGTGGAGGAGGAGGAGGAAAAGGAGGAGGAGGAGGAGGAGGAGAAGGAGGAGGACGAGGAGGAGAAGGAGGAGGCGGGGGAGGTGGGGTTCACTCCGTACGGGACCTCCCGAGCGAAGGGAGCCCCACCTCCCACCTCCCCCCTTAAGAGATCGCGGGATGGTGGGGTCAGGTTCGCATGTGGGCAGCCTGGAGTGGGCGGCCTGCCAAAGGTCCCTGCTGGCGGCATCAGACAGCAAGAGTCACAGCAGGGCAGCCTGCCAGTCTGGCATCTGGGGGGGGATCCTCGTCACTATCCGTGTCAAAGAGCGCGGGACTCGGAGTTCCGCTCGAGCCGCCACGCTGTACAGCTGGTCTGGGAAACGGGCTTACAGTTGGCGGCCCAGGTCAGAAAGACACGGCGTAGGTGCACTGCATCATCATCACCAGCATCAGCAGCAGCAGCAACAGCAGCAGCAGTAGCATCGTCGTCGTCGGCGGCATCGGCGTCGGCGCCGGCGTCAGCGTCATTGTCATCGTCATCACCACCACAGACACAACACCACAGCCACTGCGTGCTTGACATATCGACAAGGCGGGCCCTGCCTGCCTTTCGGGTAGCCCGGTCCTGCATGTGAAGGAAGAGCCGGGCGACGCTGAGCTCTCCGGGACGCGCCCCGACCGCCTTCAGCACGGGGAGCTGAAACAAGTACCTGCTCGGCAAGCATCCCCGTGCCATCCTCCTTCATCCTCATCCATTCTCTCTCACCCCTCCTCATCCATACTCCTCCTCCTCCTCCTCGTCCGCCTCCTGCTGCTCCTCCTCCTCCTCCTCCTCCTCCTCCTCCTCCTCCTCCTCCTCCTCCTCCTCCTCCTCCTCCCCTCCCTCCTCCTCATCATCATCACCACCATCACCATCACCATCACCATCACCACCACCACACCACCATCATCATCATCATCATCATCATCATCATCGCATCATCATCATCATCATCATCATCATCATCATCATCATCATCATCATCATCATCACACCACCATCATCATCATCATCATCACCATCATCATCATCATCATCACAGCATCAGCATCATCATCATCATCATCATCATCATCAGCATCATCATCATCATCATCATCACCACCACCACCACCACCACACCACCACCACCATCATCATCATCATCATCATCATCATCATCATCATCATCATCATCATCATAATCATCATCATCATCATCATCATCATCATCATCGTCGTCATCATCATCATCATCATCATCATCATCATCAGCCTCTCTTCCCCATCCTCATCCTCCTCCCTTGCATATCTGGCATTCATCACTCCTCTGTCCACACCTCCCGCCGTAGCTGCAACGATGGCATTATTTGGGCGGTGGAGGTCAGGAGGAATGTGGAAGAGAAAGACGAGGATACTGTTTCGGACTGATGCCAGTTTTTGCAGGGCATCGGCAACGCGGCATTGGCATGACAGTTGCGGGCTTTACCAATGCTTCCACTGTTTTGTTTTAAGCACCTCCCCCCCGCCGCGAACACCCTCAAGGGGTGTGGCTTGACAATGTCTTCGTCGGGATTCCAGCCGTTCCGACGAGAACGCCCGGGGAGGCCATCAGACGGCCAAAAAAAAACTTCTAACCGTCTAACCCCCGAACCCCCGAACCCCCGATTCCTTGCTCCTCGAACCCTCGAAACATCGGGCCCTCGGTCAATCGAACCCTCGAACCCTGGATACCGCGGGGCCCCCGGAGTCTCGAACCCTCGAACACAGAGAGGACCAACTGCATCCCAGAACCTCGATCCTCGAACCTTTAGGCCCCATGCCAACGAATCATAAACGAACCACGGCCACACCAAAATCGACCGAACTGACAGCGAAACTGAAGCCGACCGAACCGATTGCGAAACCGAAACCGACCAGGACACCGTGGGGCCGAGAGCAGCCCACGGAATAATGCAGCGGAGACGAACAACTGCAGCCGACTGCGAGGAAGCCGAGCCAGCCAAGTCGCGGACACCCCTGCGCGAACCCTGCCCCAGACGCTCGCGCCCGTGCTGGGGCGCCTCCCTCGGCTACACGCAAGAGTGACCCTAGGCAGAAGCGCCCTTTCGTGTGCGGGTGCAGGGGGCGCAAGGTGGCAAAATCAAAGCGCGAGCAGCTACTGTCGCACCGCGCTCAGCGATCGGGGCGACCCCGGTGAGTCCGCACCAAAAGTCACTCTGGCGAAGGGTCAATCTTACGTGTAGTCGATTCCTGAAGGCGGAAGCGCCCGCATGTGCTATCCATTCAAAGCGACGGGCGCGGGAGCCGAAGCCGGCGCGCGCGCAGCAGATCTCGTACCACCCCCAAGCCTCGAGCCCCTTCGAGCCCACCCGAACCGCCCTCGAGCCCTCTCGAGCCCCCCTCGAGCCCTCTCGAGCCCCCTCGAGCCCCCTCGAGCCCTCTCGAGCCCCCCTCGAAGCCCTCTCACAGCCCTCCAGCCCTCCAGCCCTCGGGGCCTCGAGCCCTCCACCCCGCTCGAAGCCCCCTCTCGAATCGCTCGGACCTCGGGCCGTTCAGCTCGGGCCTCTGGCGGCGACTCGGGGCCGCAGCGCAACACGGAGGGCCCGTGACATGGTGGGGTGTTGTCGCCTTCCTCCTCCTCCTCAGCCTCCTCCTCCTCCTCCTCCTCCTCCTCCTCCTCCTCCTCCTCCTTCTCCTCCTCCTCCGCCTCCTCTCCTCCTCCTCCTCCTCCTCCTCCTCCTCCTCCTCCTCCTCCTCCTCCTCCTCCTCCTCCTCCCCTGATGTTTGGTCGACGAATATGCCCCCGGCGAGGGGCGACTGCTGGAGCGCATAACACGAGGCATGACCCCACTGGAGAAGCCGACGAAAACGCCAGACAAGAAGCGCCTGGCCGCGCGCCCAGCTGCTGGAGCGCATCACGAGGCAGGGAGCCCTGCAGGAGCACACAAAAACGCCCGAAAAAGATCGAGCCCTCGAGGCCCTCGAGCCCCCTCGAGGCCTCTAAGCATCGTTTCACCGATCCCTGTCCTCACTGGCGTGGCCTGGGCCCCACGGCACCGCATCGTCACTACGTCGCCGATGTATCGCCGATGCATCGGCGATGTATCGGCGACTTCGGCGTGGGGAAACACGGGCTCCACATCGAGCCGCATCGTCGATGCATCGGCGAAGCGGCGCGATCCTAAGACCCCATCTACTCGGACCCCATTCAGGAGGCCTAGAGTTCAGGCCCGAGCCCAAACCCGAGCACGAGCCAGGTCCAGGCCCGAGCCCGAGCCCGAAGCCCAAGGCACAAGCCCCTGAGCCAGAGCCCGAAGCCCAAGCCTGAGCCCGATGCCCAAGCGCCCGAGCCCCTGAGCCTGAGCCCGAAGCCCAAGCCCGGGCCCCAAGCCCAAGCACCTGAGCCCGAGCCCGAGGCCCAAGCCCAGGCGCCCGAGCCCGAGCCCGAAGCCCTCCTCCTCCTCCTCCTCCTCCTCCTCCTCCTCCTCCTCCTCGTCCTCCTCCTCCTCCTCCTCCTCCTCCTCCTCACTCCTCCTCCTCCTCCTCCTCCTCCTCCTCCTCCTCCTCCTCCTCCTCCTCCTCCTCCTCCTCCCCCGGAGGGCGCCTGCCCTCGTGCCGCTCGAGCAGCCTCGCCGCGGGGCACAGCCCGGCCACGAAGCGCTCCACAGCGTCCCCGGGGGCGCCGCCCGCCGGGGGGTCGCCGCCGACCAGGAGCTCCAGCTGGTATCCCGCCCCGTAGGTGTCCTCCGAGAGCGCATTTGTTGTTCGCGGCAGCCCTATCATTGCACCGGCCATGCGGGCGTGCTGCAGCGGATTTGTGCGTGGAGGTCTGCCCATGCAGAACCTCGAACTTGCGAGCGAATCTGAGCGAGTTGCACGTGGATGCTTGTTGTTAGTCTTCACTCCTGGCCAAAAAAAAATCCGCACGAAATTCACGTCGGAATCCGGAGCGATTCTCCAGGGCACTCTGGGCCCATGCGGTTGTTTTCCTAACGAAATCCGCTCTGCGATGGTGGCGCCATGAGCCCTAAGATCTTGCTGGCATCTCCATTTTTTCGAGCCAGGCGTTTTCGCCTTCTTGTTCAGACCCCTGGGCCCTCGCAGACCGATGCGGCGCGGAAACTGGCGCGAAAAGATTGGGTCTGGGGCTCCGGGCGTGATTTCATACGATGTTGCGCAGTTCTACCTACGTCGGATCTCACGGGATAACGGTCGTTATGGGGGGCAGGGGGAGGGGACGGGGGGGCATAACACAGCGCCCCCCCCCCCTCCCCAGACCGTTGTGCCAGAGGCACTGCGGCAGTGCCGGGGGCGCACTGAGGGGGGGAGCGTTACGTTATGAGAGGGGGAGGGGGGGAGGGGAGGGGGCGTAACGCGCGTTATGGCCCAGGGGGTGAAAAATTGTCGGCACTACGGGCCAGAGGCGTGCTAAGATTTCCAGTTACTGGTGAACCATCTATTTTTAGTTCGCGCGCGCGGGGCTGCCTCTGGGGGCACCTGGACGAAGAATACCCCGCGCGATCCCCAGGACACTCGGGCCAGAGATGGTTTCGCTCCTGCGTGCGGCCTCTCGGCCTCCCAGAGCGCTCCAAGAAGGCCCGAGGAGGCCCCCGAGGTGCCTTCTGAGAGGTCTCCTGCGTCTGCGGGTAAGGCTCGGGACACTTCTCAGAAGGCCGGGGGACTTCCTAGCCTTCTGAGAGGGCCTTCTCCTTCTCGCTTCCCCCCCTCGCTCGCCGCCGAAGCCTCTCGTCCCGGGGGGCCCTGAGACCGCCCCCCCCCCCCCCCAGCGAGTCCAGAGTCGAGGGAAAGCGCCGAGGCGGATCACAAAAAAAGCCCGCCAGAGACCCGTCGGCGACGAGCCCGAGGGGGAAGTGAGAAGGGGCTGGGCCTTCGCAGAAGGCTCGGAAGTCCCCAGGCATTCTGATAAGTTCTCCACCATCAAGACGTATGCTAAGGAAGGCGGTGGCAAGTACGCAAGACCCTGGGAGGCCGAGGTTGGGATTTTTGGGGCGGCGGCCGACCAGTGAAAACGGCGAAGGACGGGCCGCAGAGGCAAGGACACGAGGGTGCCCTAGATGAAGGCGCTCGTCCTTACCAGGCGAGTTGACTGTAAGCCTTCCCCGAGGACACCGAAGACTTCTCAGAAGGCCAGAGGGCCTCTGGGAAGCCCCGCCCCGCCTTCTGAGAGCTCCTTTTGCTTCTCGCTTCCCCCCCACCCCCACGCTCGCCGCCGAGTCTGGGGAGGACGGGGGGGAGATCGAGAATCGACGCGTCTGGAGGTCTCCGGGCCTCCTCGGGCCTCCAGAGGCCTCCAGGGGCCTCTTGGGGCCTCCACGGGCCCCACAGGGCCCCGTGGGCGGGCGCGCCTCCTGCTCCTCCTCCTCCTCCTCCTCCTCCTCCTCCTCCTCTCCTCCTCCTCCTCCTCCTCCTCCTCCTCCTCCTCCTCCTCCTCCTCCTCCTCCTGGACTTTTGGCACGCGGGCGCGCCCGAGGAACCTGCGGCCGTGGGGTGGAGACAGCCTCCAGCCTTGCTTTTCGGAAGCTGCATCGGGCAGTGTCCTGGCCTTGAGGGCAGGCCCAGGCCTCCCCGGGGCCTCCGCTGGTCCAGGGGGCATCCAGGGGGACTCCCGTCGGGCACGTGCCTACCTGGACTACGGTGGAGGCCCTACCGCAAGAAACCTTCCCAAAAAAAAACCCAACCTTGAGACCGACCCCAGGGCGTCCGTTGACTTTGGGCGTGGGAACGTCGCGCTTCCCACCGCAAAACCATCGAAACCCAAGAAACCCAGGGCACCCTGGGGGCGAGCAGGGTGTCGCTTGGTATGGGCCGCCACTGCGCGGAGCCGTGGATCTGGCACGTGGGCGCACGATCCACGGATCGGGAAGAGCACCTCCCGAGACCCGACGCCAGCGCCGCCTGCGTCGGCGACGGAGCGCGTCGCTCACGCTGGCCCACGCACCTCAATCCAGGCTTGCGCCTCCTCGAGCCAGGCATGCCTCCGGGGGGCCTCCAGAGATCCCCCCAGGGACAGCCCGCGGCAGCCCCGACGAGCCGTCGGGCCCTCGCAACTGCAGCAGCCCGTGCGTGGAGACGATGCTGTTCGATCCGTGTCGAATCCACGAGCGACCATGGCCAGAAGCCTGCGACTGCTGCACGTCGTGGGAGGCGAAAGCTCGAGCCGGCCCGGTCACCAATGAGGGGGCACTGAGACGCGCAGCGAGGAGAGACGCCCCGCACCGTGAGAGCCCACGTCGCGAAGAAACTGCCACGTCGCAGAGAAACGCAATCACGACCGGAACCCCCGACTCTGCCCGTTTTTCCGAGCCGCATCGATCTGCGGGGGTCCCCGGGGCCCGAAACCAGGCGACAACGCCCGTATTGAAACAACTGCAACGCCAGGATCTCAATGCACGGGGACTCGCCATCGCTCGGACGTCCATTCCCCGTGCATCTGTCGGCTTCCCGCGCGTGTCATCTCGCAAGATGATCCAGAAGGCTCCGTGATGGTCCTCGCCGAGAAGAAACCACATGGGACGCACAGAGACACCTGGAGGGGGCGAGGGCGACGCACATATGTAGCATGAGAATGTCAGGGTGACGCCGAAGGCACGCGTCCGAGCGATGCCAAGGGGAGCCTCTGCGGCGGCGGGGGCCGCCCCCGGGCGGCCGCCGCCCCCGAGGCGGCAGCGGGGGCGGCGACGCGCCCGCAGGGGGGTTCCTTGATGTGGTCCGGCGTGCCGACGCAGCGCAGCCTGCCGCGGAC